GCGAGCTCACTCTCTCTTTGTGCACTCAGAGGAAAGACAACGTGAGGACAAAAACACTGACTGCAAGCCAGGGAGAGAGAACCTGCTGGAATCTTGACCTTGAACTTCCTAGCCTCTAGAACTATGGAAAAAAAATTCTGTTGTTTAAGCCACTCTGAGGAATTTTGTTATGGCAACCTGAGCTGACTCAGGTTCTAATGTACACTTCTATAGTGTTTGATATTTTACATCAAAGATGTATTTTTGTATTATTTTTGTCATCAAAAAAAAGCTAATAAATATAACCCACATCCACTGACAACTTCACTCCACCTCACCCCAGAAATGAAATAAATCATTCTGGGTAGATAATATCCTTCATTATTTTCAAAGCATGCTGGTTCCATTTATAAGTACAGAATAGTTTAATGGCACAAACTGTGAAAATTGGTAATATTTTTTATCTTTGCTCTTAGACCAGCAGAGGTCTGGGGTTCCAAGCCGGGACTGAGAAGCCCTATCCACGAATCTGAGGCGAGGGTCTTTGAGACAGGACTGGGTGACTCTGCACTGCTTAGGGTGATGATCTCAGAGGCAAAATTTGTGAGGATGGGTGAAGAAAGTTACTATGAGCATTCACACTGCACTGCTTTTAAGGAACTACTGCAATTAAGTCTACATGGGGTTGGGATGGCAGACTGAGGGTTGAGTGTGTGAATCTTTTAATTTTGTGTTGCCATAGAAATTTAATTGGCTGCTTCCACCAAACTGCTCAATGACTACAGACTTTATGGTAGACGACAGATTGAAGCAAATTCTCTGTTACTCCTTCATGGAGAGAGAGGTGAAGTGGTAATAACTCACCCAGTGAATCCAGGCTTGGCTTAGTGATTGGCTTGACCAAACAGGCCACAAAAAAAGTGTTATTGTGGGATTTCTAAGAAGCTTTGCAGCTTTCACCTGGGTGTCTTGGTCTCTGGGAGCCCTGAGCTTCCATGTGAAAATTCCAACTACTCTGAGACCCTCTAGTTAGAGATACACTTTCATAGACAGGACCGTTTGATTCAAGCCTTCTGGGCTTCACTGCCGAGGGGCCACCATTAGAGTAATGATGTCTTGGATCCTCCGGAGTGGCTCAGCCACCCACAGAATCCCACCACATGACCTTGGTCAAGCCATGTGCCACAGAAGAATTGCCCAGCTGAGCCCTGCCCTGGTACCTGACCTACACAATCATGAGATAGGATGCAATGCCCCTATGACCCCACTAAGTTTAGGGGCAGCTTGTGATTCAACAATAGAAAACCAGGAGAGCCTTCATCTGGACATCAGTGTCAAGAGGATAATAATGAACTTGCCAAATCAATCTACTACTGTTCAAGTTGATTCTGTTGAAGATTTCTTAGTTCCCTTTGACCTGGAGAAGTCAGACTTAATCTATCAAGTAAAGGAGGAAAACGGAGGTGGTCAAGCCTGCAGGGGGAGACTGTCAGTGCAAAGGGAAGGCTTAACAGCTGGAGAAATTCTGTATCTGATAGCCGCCTCCCCACCAACCTTATGACATTAAATATGGTTTTGCAGGGAGGATGGAGAAGTTAGGAGCCCCTATGCATAGCTGAGACTACTCTATTGTAAGCTCTTCTGGTTCCCAGTACATGGGCCTTCATTTTCAGTCCTGAAAACAAGTTCATCTTTTTTTCAGTCACTGCCTAGAAAATTAAGTTTTCTCTTCCAGATTTTCTGGGAGTAGCCAGTCAGCCATATACCCTTTGCTCTCCATAGGAGAGAGACAAACTTTATATGACCACATATGCCACTTTTCATCTGTACGATTATGGTTTAAAGGAAATTCTTTAAAAACCCAATGCTTCAAATCTAGAGTATTAGAAGATCTCAGTTCAGGGTGCCTGGATGGCTCAGTTGGTTAAGCGACTGCCTTCGACTCAGGTCATGATCCCGGAATCCTGGGATCAAGTCCCACATCTGGCTCCCAGCTCAGCGGGGAGCCTGCTTCTCCCTCTGCTTCTCCCTTCTCATGCTGTTTCTCTCTCTCTCTCTCTCAAATAAAATAATAAAATCTTAAAAAAAAAAAAAAAGAAGATCTCAGTTCAAAAGACAAATACACAGACTTCAAATATTTTATATTCCTTGTTAATATTTGTCTGGTGTCAGGAAGGTTCTAGAGTCCCTAAACATAGTCCTTGTTTTAGAGATTATATTCAGGATTACATTTCTCTTTCCTTTTAAAATCTAAATTTGGGGTTTTATTATTTTTAAATATGTGTGAATAAATTATCTTCATTGCCCTGAGACAGTATTCTGTTATTTAATGAGAGCCAATTGAACATCTAACAATGATACTGTTAAAAACAAAACAAAACAGAGTAGCGGCAGAAGACATCCCTAGAAGACCCAAAAGCTTTACTGAAAAATTAACATGTAACAAAGGACTTTGATGACATTTATTTGGGAGTGGTCCCACCTCCTTTGCTTTAGCCATGAGCTTTTCACTTTCATCTCTTTGGGGGGATGTGTTGCTTAAGGAAAATGTTAGTAATGTCTGCAAAGATGGATTAATAAATTCCATAGCCAACCGGACTCCTACTCAACCTGATGAATCAGTGGTTTTGTGGTTTCTGACATCAGCAGAGCCCATCAATTAAACTACATACTGCAATGAATGAGTTTTTAATTATAAACACTCTGAATAGGACACTATCATAGAGAATAAACAGTATGTATCAAAAAGGCAGGTAGGACCAGCACAACGTAAGGAACACTCAACCGGGAATCACATGCTCTGTGTTTGAGTTCCTTTTCTGCTTGGGTTCCAGCTTAATTTTTGGAGCCTCGGTCTTATCATCTGCAAAATGGTCATAGTGCCACCGATCTTAACAAACTTGCGAAGTTGTTGTAAAGATTAGAATGAAATGAGGTGATGCAAATGAGTGGTAAAGTGTTATTTTTCAGAAAAATATCTGTTAACTGGCCAAATCAAAGGTAGAGACAGAGGTGTATCTGGTTCCCCTGGGAGAGCGCGGGGCAGATGGCTGCACATTAGGTCTAGTGCCGAGAAACCTCCAGAGCCCCTCAGAGGTTGAGTTGGCTGGAACTGTTCATGCTCTTTTCCCCCACAGGATGTTTTCCATGTTAAGGCACATTGTAAGGCTTGTTTACCCTGCCTGGTCTGTAGTCACTTGATGCTCAACACCCTTTCTCATCCCTCCCAGGATCAGTCATCAGATTGAACGGTCATGTCATATTGTACTTCTTTAAAGCTTCTTTATTAGGATATATTCCACTGTGCCATACAATTCACCCACTGATAGTGTGCAAGTCGATGTTTTTTAGTACATTCACAGAGTTGTGCAACCATTACAACAATCAATTTTAGACCATTTTTATCACTAAAAGAAACGTTATTTTTTTTAAAAAGAAAGAAACGTTGTATTCGTTAGCAGTCAAGCGGCATTATACCTCAGCTGCCTCACCTCCCCTCAGCCCTGAGCAACCACTAATCTACTTTCTGTCTCTACAAATTTGCCCATTCTGGACATTTCACATAATCATGTAATATGTAGTCTTTTGTGAAGGACTTCTTTCACTAAGCACCATGTTTTCAAGGTTCATCTACGTTGTAGCATATATAAATGGTCTATTCAGTTTTATTGTCGAATAATATTACATTGTATGGCTAACTACATTTTATTTATCCATTGATCAGTTGATGGACATTGAGGTTGTTTTCTATAATGTCACTATTATGAATACGATTGTCATGAATAGTTATGTAGAAGCTTTTGTGTGAACATAGGCTTTTATTTTTCTTGTTTATGCCTAGGAGTGGAATTGCTAGTGAGATGGCAACTCTCTGTTTAACCTTCTGATGAACTCCTCATCTGTAGAATGATAATGTAATAAGGGTCCTAGCTAACTGTTTAGCTATTTTCCAAAGCAACTGTAGCATTGTAAATCCCTATTAGCAGTATATGAGGGTGCCAATTTTTCCACATCCTCCTGGCTAACCTTTGTTCTTATCTGTCTTTTTGGTTCCAGCCACCATAGTTGGTATGAAATGGCATTTCACTATGGTTTGATTTGCATTTACTTGCTAGCTAATAGTTTTGAGCTTCTTTTAAATGTTTCTTTGATCAATTGTATATCATCTTTGAAAAAATGTCCATTCAGATTCTTTTTTTTTTTTTCATTCAGATTCTTGTGCTCACTTTTAATTGGGTTGTCTTGACAATATTATTCTTCTTATTCTTATTATTATTGAGTTGTAAGAGTTATTTTTAAAATAGGGGAGTGTGAGTCCTCCAACCTTGTTCTTTTTCAAGATTGTTTGGTTGTTAAGGGTCCCTTGTATTTAAGTATTAGTTTTAGGATCAGTTTGTTGATCCTAAAAAACCCAGCTGGGATTTCTGTGTTTATTGTGTTGAATCTATAGATCGATACACAGTTTTGCCATCTTACCAATATTAAGCATTTGGAAACATGAGCATAGGATGCTTTTTCATTTATTAAGATCTTTGTTTCAATAGTGTTTTGTAGTTTTTAGTACAGAAGTTTAACTTGTTAAATTTATTCCCACATACTTTTTGCTTTTTGATACTATTGTAAATTGAGTTGCTTACTTAACTTAATTTTCAGATTGTGTGATAATAATGTATAGAAATATGACTAATTTTTGTATATTGATCTCATATCCTGCAATCTTTCTGAACTCATTTTTTAGTTCTGATATTTTTTTGTGGATTCCTTAGAATTATCAGTATACAAGGTCATATCATCTTCAAATAGAGAAAGTTTTACTTCTTTTCGAATTTGGATGCCTCTAATTTTTTTTTTTTTTTTTTTTAATGACTAAATGTCCTGGTTAGAACCTCCAGTACAAGGTTGAACAAATGTGGAGTGTTTTTAGTCTTTCACTGTTAAGTATAATCTTAGCTCTGAGGCATTTTATCAGGTTGAGGAAGTTTCTTTGTAGTTTATTGAGGCTTTTATTTTATTTTATTTTTTTTTACTTTTTTGTTGTTTTTATTATGCACTACATTAATACACTGCATAACCTTCTAGAAGGGGTAGATGAGTATGACTGAGTTATTTTTCATCAATCAGGAAAATGCTTCCTTAATCGATATTCTCCAAACCCTTTGACACATAGTAACGATTAACTCCAGAGACCCGCCTATCTCTTTGCATCAAACTCCACTGATACGGATAATAGGCAACCCTTTTTTCCTTGCCGCCGTTACTGAACCTGTGGATGTGCGCCGTCGCTATGCCGGGGATGACCAAGCACACGGCCATGACGCCGATCCCGGGCAGGATCTCGAACCACATCGCAGCGCCGCTGCCGGAGCCAAACCCCTGCCAGCCCGGCCCGGTAAAGGAGGCTCTTATTTTTTAAACATGAGGTGTTGAATATTGTCAAATGCTTTTCCTTCCTCTATTAAGATGATCAGATGGCTTTGTCCTTTCTTTTATTGACATAGTGTATGACATTGATGGTGGAACCAAATTTGCTTTCCTGGGATACGTACCACTTTGTCATGATGGATAATCTTTTATATATGTTGCTGGATTCAGTTCCTTAGTATTTTATTGAGGATTTTTGTGTTTATATTCATAAGAGAGATTGATCTATAGTTTTCTTTTCTGGTGATATCTCTGTCTGGTTTTATTATCAGAGTAATATCGGCCTCACAGAATGAGTTGGGAAGTGTTTTCCCCTCGTCTGTTTTTTGAAAGTGTTTGTGAAGAACTGGTATTAATTATTTAAATGTTTGGTAGAAGTCTGCAGTGAAGTCATCTGGGCCAGGGCTTTTCTTTGTGGGGAGTTTTAATATTATTAATTCACTCATGTTTGTTAAAGGTTCTACTCAGATTTTCTATTTCTTCCTAGATTTTGTCTTTCTAAGACTTCTTAGTCTTTCTAAATTTATTCCATTTCATCTAATTTGTTGGCATACTATTGTTTATAGTATTCCCTTACAGTTCTTTTTGCCTTTATAATCCATTACTGCTATTAGGTTGGAAGTCATGTTCCTCTTTTATTCTTGATTTTAATAATTTTAGTCTTCTCTCTCTCTTTTCTTGGTCAGTTTAGATAAAGGTTTGATAATTTTGTTGATCTTTTTAAAGAAACAACTTTTGATTTTGTTGATGTTATCTGTCAATTTCTATTACGTATTTCACTAATTTCCATTCTAATCTTTATTATTTTCTTCCTTGTTGCTTTAGGATTAAGTTGCTCTTCCTTTCTCCAGTATCTTAAGGTGGAAAGTTAGGTTACTGATTTGAGATCTTCCTTCTTTCTTAATATATGGTTTATTGCTATCCATTTCCCTCTAAGCACAGCTTTAGCTGCAAGCCATGTTTAGTTATATTGTGTTTACATTTTTATGCCTTATAAAATATACTGAATTTGTTGTTACTTATTAAGAATATGTCATTCAGTTTCCACATATTTGTGAATTCTCTGATTTTCTGTTAGCGATTTCTAATTTTACTCCATTGTGGTCTGAGAATATACTTTGTATGATTTCAATCCTTTTAAATTTATTACAGATTATGTTTTGACCTAACATAAGGTATGCTAGAGAATATTCCATATGTGCTTGAAAAGCATATGCATTCTGGGGGCCTGGGGGGATCAGTCAGTTGAGCATCTGACTCTTGGTTTCAGCTCAGGTCATGATCTCAGGGTCCGAAGATGGAGCCCCACCTCAGGTTCCGTGCTCAGTGGGGAGTCTTCTTGAGATTCTCTAGCTCTCCTTCTCCCTTTGCCCCTTCCCTCGCTCTCTCTCTCTCTAAAATAAATAAATAAATCTTAAAAAAAAAAAGAAAATGAAAGCATATGCATTCTGCTGTTATCGAATGGAGTGTTCCATAGATGTCTGTTTGGTTTAGTTATTGTGTTGTTCAAGTTTTCTGTTTTCTTGTTGATTTTCTAGAGTTGTTCTCTCCATTACTGTAAGTGGGATATTGTAGTCTCCAAATATTATTATTGAATTGTCTATCTTTCCCTTCAATTCTGTCAGTTTTTGTTTTACGTATTTTGGGCTTTGTTGTTTAGGTACATATATATTCATAATTGTTTTATCTTCCTGATTGATTGACTCTTATCACTACCTAATGTCTATATTTATTTCTATTAACATTTTTTTCTTTAAAGTCTATTTTGCCTGGTATTACTATAGCCACTCCAGCTTTCTTATGGTGCTGTTTGCATAATGTATCCTTTTCGCTCCTTTTGCTTTCTACCTATTTGAATCTTCGGATTTGAAGTATGTCTTCTATATACAGGATACAGTGGGTCTTATTTTCTTTTAATCCAGTCTGACAGTCTCCCTCTTTTGATTGTATTGTTTAGCTAATTCAAATTCAATGTTATTAGTGATACGCTTGGATTTATGTCTGTCAATTTGCTTTTTATCTTCTACGTCTCAAGTCTTTTTGTTCCTCTCTCCCTTCTTAACTATTTTCTTTTGCACTAAGTGAATATTTTCTAGTCTAGCGTTTTCACTCCTTAAATTAATTGCCAGCTGGAATGGGGCTCAGAAAGGGTGGTTTATATGTATAAATCTATCACCACTACTGGGTGAATTATTCAGGTATTTACTATCAATGGGGAGGGAGATAGTATTAGATAAAATAAATAAAAGTAAGCACTGTTCCCATGGCATGAAAGAATGCAGAGAGGAAATAAAGACCTTATTATATGAGACAGGATATTCTGCTTAATTAAAAATATTATGATTGAATATATTGAGAATCAACTTAAGAAGGAATATTTGTCTATGAAAAGCTGACATATAATTTATAAAAGCCACACGAACCCAAATTATTAGTTGATGCAATTATTTTCTTAGAGCTAGTGTAATTTATCAATGTCCGTGGAATTTTATGGAATCTCCAAAGATAATATTTCAAATCTGGGGGTAGATTCTAGATCTACTTCTGCCATTATTCCCTCATTCATTTATTTATTCATTATGCTTAAAACATTTTTAACTGTTTAAAAACATTATTTTTAATGTATAGTTAGAAACATTTTAACTATATTACTTTTCTTAGACAAACTATTAAATTTCTTTATTCATAAGATAAAAGGATTGGATTTGGTAATCTCCAAGGATATTTCTCCTGCTCTAAAATCCCATGATTCTAAATAGCATAGTTGAAATAATCATTCCTTCATTAATTCAGCAAATATTTATTGATCTACCAGGGGTGAAGCATTGTGTTAGGAACAATGGACATAGTAGACATAACTGCTGCCTTCATGAAACCGTCAGGCATTGAAACAAGAAATAACAAGAGTGATGGTTTTCATGAAAGAGAAAGTGTAGGGTACTGTTGGGATATAAGTCAAAAGTTTTCTAACTAACCCTGGTGGGACAGAGGATCTTTCAAAGAAGGTTTTCCTGAGGAAGTGGAGTTGATGCTGACATTTGAAGGATGAGTAAGAGTTAACAGAAAAGCAACAGTTGAAAAGGGCATGATATGGGAAGAGAGTTCTAGAAAGTGGTATGTTCAAAGCTGAGGGACAAGAGATAACCTAGGGGGTTTGAGGACGTCATAAAAGTCAAATATGTCAGAATTCAAGACAGAAAATGAATAGAAATGAGGCTGGAGGGAGAGGAAGAGAGATCACAGAGCCTTAAGTCAGCTACTTAAAGAGGTTGGTCCTTCACCTGTGGACAGTAGCAGCCTATCTAAGCTAAATAAGATTCATCTTTAAAAAAATGACTCTGTCTGTGGAGCAGAGGGGAAAGTGGAGGTCTATGAGGTATCCAGATGGTCTGCTCTAGGGTGCATGTGAGGATGGACTGAAGTGAATGGTTTGAAAGATATATAGAAAATTAAGTGGATAATATTTGCTAATAGATTGGATGGGAAAGCTAATTAAATGGCTAATAAATTAAAACTTTACTCTGTGCCTAAAATGATTTAATACAACTTACAAAGATGCTTATAACTTAGTTGGGCAAAACATATTTGCATGCTTTCTAAAATGAAGACAAGGGAAAATAAGAATAAAAAAGTTAGCAGCCAGGAGGAAGATTAGTTCTTGAAATGAAAGCCCTCAATTCCTATTCTTTTAGAAATGGATAACACATTCAGGAGACTTGGGCATATTTATGATTATCTTGAGAATTGAGAGGCAAGAAAACGTGTTTGTCTGAGGAGATGATTTTTAATAATGGTATAGTTGGTGCTAATCTCAATTTGCATTCTTGGGTGTGTAAGAAATACTGCTCCTTTCTATTTTCTATGAATGAACTTGTTCTAGGTTTTCAGGGCAGCCAACATGGTAGAATATTTAATGTTAGTTGTTACTGGTGTCTCATCAAATTCCTGGTCTTTATGCTGTTCCATTTGACCCTTCAGTTCCGCAGGCCATCGTGGTTTCCATGCTGCAGCCAGGACTCAGGAATCTGAGTGAAGTATGGGACCTAAATGACAGTAAAGTCTCATCAGGAAAACAGAAACCACACTAGGTTTTTCGAATACAAAGCACTCAGTAATGGAATCTGTTACACGGGAGATGGAAAACTGAAAGAACAAATAGGGATCACTGAGTAACCAGAGATACTGACTTAGGAAATCACTGCCACCCCTAACACTAGAAAAATGAAAGGAAAATGGGGATTACCAGAATCTAGGAGCACAGGAGGGGTCCAGCAGCGTTGGTTCTCAGACCTCTGAGTAAGGGGTACCACCTGTCTGCTACTGGTATCTCTGGAATGGTGGGGCTGGTTCTGGTTGCATAAAAAGAAGATGGAAGCTGAAGCCAACTGCTCTTGCTGGGGTCATGCTAACAAGACCCACCCCCCCCAAAGAAATAGGGAATATTTTTTTTTTCCTCCTTCAATCTTCCAGTCTGCCTCAGAGCCTCCTATTGGGAGAACATGGCAAGGATGCCAGATGACAAAGGAGTCTGGGAAAGGAAATTTGCCAAGCTCTAGTTTCAGCATCACAGGTAGAACACAGAAGGGTAGATGAGAGCTGAGATGCACCAGGTAAATAACAGGCTCACACGGGGACCATGTTCCTGGCAGCCTTGCTACTCCAGACTCATAGGTCTCTCTCCTTCCTGCAGTCTGCCCTCTCCCCTTAACCTGTGGGCATTCCTTTCTGCAGCTGCCTTTTCAGAGTCTCTCAAATCCTCCCCTGTCTTCCCCAGGAGCATTCACAATAAATGTTGGTGTCCATTAGTATCGGAGCCTGAATCATTAACAATCAAAAGATAGTTCTTCTTTTCTTGAGGACAGATCTTCCAGGAGGTGAGGGTAAATGTTTACATTTTATCCTTATAGAGAAAAGAAAAACAAGAAAATCAATAAGGTTACCTTCCGTAATAAAGCAGAACAGCCAACAGCGGA